AATTTCTCTAATCGGTAGTACTTAACATCATTGTTGGATCTCGCTTTTCCATTTTTCTTCTTCGATTGATGATGATTTATACATGGTTGAACATAGTCGATGATCGCTTTACTTATGGTTGAAAAAGGAAGAGCCGCTAGGCCTAACCTCAAGGTAAGTTTGATCTAATCGAAATCGAAACGAATCACAAACAGAACTGAGATTTATTGCTCCCAAATAAATAAATTGTTAGTTGTTTTGATTGATTTTTGCCTTTCTTAATATATCAGGGGATGTCCAGKGGATTCTCATCCACCTTCTGTTAAGCGTACTAAAGCATTCTTCAGACGAGGACCTAAATGGAAATGAGGTTAGTTTCTTTCAGTGTGCATCTTTTTCATTTTCCTGGAGGCTAGCAAAAGATTGAAGAAATAAGACGAACCTTGATAGTTTATTTGTGATTTAGTGTGTTGGTTTTAGGCTCCGTTTGGAGCTTCCGTGGAGCTGATGATGATGATAGTTTAATACAAAAGATTCTGTGGAATCTGCATTAAGACTATAATGCTTATTGAGGAAGCTTACAAAGCAAAAGGTAAGGTAATCTTTCAACATTTTTGTTGCTTTCCTTAATTCTCTGTCTATATGGATTGCAGAGAGGACCTGCGTTTATATGGAGTAGCTTTTGGTGATACTAAACTCTCATTATAAAAAAAAACTTTTTGATATGAAAAGGTGCTTCTATTGCAGAGAAGGTCTCTCAAGCATAGTTTGAAATCACACATTATATTTGTGCCTTTTGATAAATGACTTCATTGAAGAAGAGAGTTGCTAACCCTTTTCTTTCAATTGTAAGGACTCAGAAAACTCTTGATACATATGAGACTGAGTTTCCTAATAAACATGAAATACAGAGCAATAAGTAATTTGACATGACAATGTCATCGTGATTGCCAATAAAAAAAACGTATACCTTGACCAATATAAGATATTGATGAGTTGATGTTTATAAACTCTTAACGATCAATTATGGAAGAAGAGATATAATAGTTTATCTTCGCTTTGTCATTTTAAGACCTCCATCTGCATTTTTTGTCAGATGAGAAGGAAGTGATTGAGGAAGAACAAGATGACCAAAGGAGAATACAAACACCCATTTTTTGTCAACCTCCAATTTCTTATCACAATTGCAGAGAAAGAAGTGATTGAGGAAGAACAAGATGAGATATTGATACTAATGAAGGGATACCTATTAACCTTGTTGATCATAAAACGGAAAAGCCCGATGTTATTTTCGTGCTTGAGAAGGCTCTTGGAGTTGCCAAAGTTGGAAAGGTATATCCATTTTCAAAGAAGGTTATATTTATCTTCTAGATCGTTTGAGAGAGAAAAAGAAGCGCATCAACAACAATTGGGATGGAAAGACTTTTAATTTCTCTTAAATCTATGTGATATGATTTTTTTTGTTTTGGCTCCAACTGGATTTAATTTTTTTTGTGGGATAAAATCGTATGGGATGAACCATTCATTTAAGTTAAAAACATTCTAAACCAAAAGGCATCTTGCATAGAAAGGATGTAGAAATATTCGTAATCAGAAACATATAATGCCATAAATCTTTTTAAGAATCCGAGTTTTTTGCCGAAGTTTGAAAAATGTATTTTAAAATAAAAATTTAAAGGATAAAWTTTCAGAAACTAATAAATTTTTAATATTTAGTTATTAAAAATATTTAAAAATAATTATATATTTATATTAAATTTCACATTCAATCATTTATATAAATAACTAATGAACAAATTCTAATTCATGTGTGTATATGGCATTATATGTTTGTGATTACGAATATTTCTACAAACTCATAATAAACAGAGGATAATATAWWTTTTTGCAAYTTTTYTAYACGACTATTAATTTGCAAATTCATAAAATTCGTTGATTTTAATAAGACGAATTTCATAGGATACCACACTTTGAAGTTATATTTCCAAAAGTATCACCATTTTTCAAATGTTTCACAAATACTACAATTTTTTAAATATTCTACAAATATCACAAATACAAAATTGATTTTCAAGGCTTTATGATTTAATTTTTTTTTGTTTCGGTTAACTATTGTATAATTAAGGTATATTTTAGGGGTTTCGGTTTAGGGTTTAGTTTTGAATGTTGAAACTTAACTTTAGTTTTGTGGTATTTGTAGAACATTTAAAAAATTATAGTATTTGTGGAACATTTAAAATGGTGATACTTTTGGAAACAAAACTTTATTTAGTGGTGTTTGTGAGAATTGCCTTTTAAATAAAGATTTTTTAAGGATGCGGATTTTGCTTCTAAATGTGATATATTTATTACACAGCAAATAAAAAAACAAAAAGTTTACGAAATTATCAAAACAATATATTTAAATTGATAAGTATGAGTAATATAAATACCATAACTATTTATATCAACAAAACACTTTACCAAATAAATAAACCCAATTAAAAAAATAAACTCAATTAACTTAGATAAAATATGAAGGAAAGTATTTACCAATCGGAATGCAAAATGGAAAACAATAAACTTATTTAAAACTACTCGATTTTTTTTATATATTTTAATACAACATAGTCAACTAATTATATTTCCACTGA